TATTCCACATATTCCGCGCTCCCTTATGTAGGACATAAGATATTGTGATTTCCCAGCGAGATATTTTAATACGATCTTTGCAGATTTTTTTTGTGGGAGTTAAGAATGTGACGCAATATGTTTCGCTTCTTTGTCGTGTCTCTCGACTAAAGAAGATTTTTATGATAATCGCGATACGCTTCTTTTAAAGAAATAATGCAATAAGAGTAAAATGTACCCTTTTTTTTAAATCAAATTTTGAATGATAAAAAAGAAGCTAATTTACGTAGTACATATCCTTCTCAAAGGTATCGATATAATATGTTGCGAGGAACGAAGGACAGTACATTTGCACCCAGTGGCGCATCAATTCGCGGTCTAACTTTATTGCGCGCACATATCCTCCGTGTCGTTACGCCCAGATTTATACGGCCGCGACGTATCCCCGGGGCGAAGTAAATATTCGCTCAAGGAAGGAAATATTGTTCCAAGATTCGATAGATTTAAGTCGGGCGAAGGGTTTAAAGGTACTTCGGCGTATGCGATCTGAGAGTTAAGGATCTCGACCTGGTGCCGGCGAGGTGCCCGGTAATTTCTCGACGTAACGAACGTATCCCCTCAGCATAACGTTTTATATCACCTTTCTCATATCGCACCAACGTTTCCCCGAGGTAAAGTAAATTTCAGGTGAATTCACGAGGTGGAGAACATCCCACCTTCGTCCTTTTTTTGGAAGTAAAAAATCGCACGAAGGGTTTAGCCAAGACGAGCCGTCACGCCGTTTTCATCGAAATTGTCACGGATTGCTTGAAGGTGGATTTTGTATTAATTCTTGCATGAAATAGAGGATTAGCCGATGCACGGGCGCAACTGCATTGGCCATTCGCGAGAAATTGCATGAAAAATTGAGCCCCGCGCGAGCGGCGAGGGCCGCCGGGTGAAAGTCGTATAAATAATTTTTATGCGATTTCGACTTTTCGCACAGTTCCACTTCTACCGGTGTACCGTTTTATCTTGCCGTGCTCCTTCGACATTTCCCCGAGGACATGTAAATTTGTACGGGAAAGAGAAAACACGGTCGCGTCGCGCCAATAACGCCGAACTGGCGAATAATTGGCTCGTACTTATATAGGATGAAATCGGAAACTTCGAGGACGCGGAAAAGGTAAAGGAGGAAAAGGAAGTTACACGCTCGGTCCGAGAGAGTCACAGGCAAAGAACAATTGCTGAAGCCGTTTCGTCATAATTTCATTGCATATTTTTCCCCTGCAGATACATCGCGTTATTTCGCTCTAGTTATGTTTCTGCAACATTTCCCCGGGGTGGAGTAAATTTGAGACGGAGAGAAAGAAAATATTGTCCGCTCCGTCGACGAGGCGGCGAAGAAGCAGTTTCGGGCGCACAAAGGGCCCACAAAATACATCAACCCCCGTCGTGTATCTCTCCAGCAGGATATCGCAAACGTTCCTCTTTAAAGCCCACGCTTGTGTAACCTCGTGGCAATTTTGATCAAAACGTGCGAATTATTGTTATTGATCTGCTATTATCTCCCTGACTTTACTCCCCCCTCCCTATCCGCCACGACGAATGATTAATTTCACATGTGCGGCTCATGAATTCAACCAAGTCCGAAATGGGACTTTGCAAACTAACAAATATTTGCTGATAAGTTTATTCCGTCAACGAGGTGTTAATTATGCATGCCGACAAATACCGCTAACGTGTTTAATGGATTTTATTATAGTATATTGAAAAACACTACATCACAGTATGTAAATACGTGCGTATTTTCCAAGTTCAAAACGCAAGCCATTGAACTGTAGAAAAGAAGAGTATGTATAATAGAGCGGATAATCTCAATCAGTACTTTCTCAGCCGGAAAGCTCGAGAGCGGTAGCATTTAATCGATTGTGAGAATATATTATATATTTGTGCGTGTCCACTGATAGCAAATGTAGATTTCTAATCGGTTTGACGTCCGCGGGCCACACTGCGAAGCTTCGAGGCAAATAAACTTCCTCCACGCGCGCGCAGGCTAATATGCTCGTTTCAGTTTGCAGGAAGCTTCGCTACAAACAATTTGCCTGAAATTGCCGTACGTGCGCGATAACCGCCCGGGAAAAACGGAAATGGCCCCCTCGAGGATGCGGGTAAGCGTCATCTTCCTCGCGGCTCACGTCTTACAAAAATTCGCCACTTGTGCCGTGCCGCCCGGCGCACTCCGGGAAACTATGCAGGCGGGTCGGTAAACCGTGCCCACCACACTCCGACTTCACTCTCGAGATGCTTAAATTGCCATTACGTTAGCAAAACGCTCGGGGGACTGCGCCGCTTGACTTCGGCGAAATTTCGCTGTTAAACTTTATTGAAGATAAAAACATAGGGCGTGGCAAAAACCCGTGCACCCGTTAAACTGCAAATGTATCCCGACTTCATTAAACTTATCGCGATCATAATTGAAGATTATAATTAAAATGCTGCAGCGCTGCTGAACACTAATAACAGTTGAAAATATGAGTATACTACCGCCTAACTAACGATTTGCAAACCCACGTTTATTAGACATGGCGATGTTTAAAGAGAAAGTTTCATACGCAATACGCGATATACGCTTAAGCTTATAGAGCTGGGAATACACCGTTTCAACACATTTTAGCAATTCCCTTCGCAATTCTGCACTCTCAGCGGACATAGAAAGTTGTATGCACCAACTATTGTATGTCCTTAAATTGCTATTAAATCCAATCTTAAATACCGACGTCTTATACTCGATCTTTTCCTGACAGTCCGGAATCGAACGGAAAATCGCCGAGCAACTTTTAACGAGAAAGTCCTACTTTTTTTTGCTAGTCTTCAGTAATTTGCAAGTAAATCCGCATCTAGCGATGGTGTTTGCGAGCATAAATATGCGACCTTAGAAATTCGTACAAATAGAAGGAGCTGTAATTTTATCATCTAAATGACAAAATTGAAAATATCCGAGCAAATTATTAACGCGAAATTCTTGTAATCTCTAATAATAGAAATATATCAGATTACGTGCCCCTCTCGGCACAGAATAACTAGCGAAGCTATCACAGCTATTTCCAATTGAAGATTCTTTTCTTTCGATTCGTATACGAAATTATTCGACAACGGCAGAAAAGTTACATTATTTAACGTCATTATTCTTCAGCAGGCATTCTATAATTTCATGTCTATAATTAATCAGCCGAAAGATAACAGTATCTGCATATATCGCGCAGGCTCGGCGAGCAGTTATTATTACTTCTGGAACAAACAGGCTGCTTGCCCACGCTAAATGCAGAAGAGCTAATTATATCCGGGGTAATGTTATACCTCTGCAGTTTATATCTATAATAATATTTATGTCGTTGCTGCGTGTGTATCGACGAAATTTCGACGTTGATATCGATCCTATATAATATTAAGTTATTAAATATTCGTATACTTTATGTTCCTGTAACTAAAATAAAATCTTGTCTATTAAAACACATTCTCTCACAATATATATCCTATGATGTGTTTGGTCACTTATTTATAGGATGGAGTCATTCTCTCACAATATATATCCTATGATGTGTTTGGTCACTTATTTATAGGATGGAGTCACATATGTCATTATAAAGTTCATTAAATGCTTTGGTACTTTCGAAACAAAGGATTAGATATTTTCGATCAAATACATTGCGTCCAGACGTTGATTCAGAATTTAATCTGACAGTTTGACATTTGTGAAAGATTAAATGCATAGATTAAATATAAATAATAACATATAATACTAAATCAATAAATACAATATATATAATACTAAATCAATAAATAAAAAAATATTTTTAATTAAAAATACGATTAGATGCATCCGAAAAAATACCTAGTAATCTTAGAATCTGGAAATGCTATGGTGTTAATGAATTTCAGTGTAAATTTCGAAAATTAACGATACGTTCTCTCTCAAATGCAATGTGTAACTTGTTTTGTTACGTGGTCATTATACTACCTGCCATAAACATATCAGCCACTTACACAAACCAAAACATCGTCCTAATTACGTTCATTATATTAACAATAAATTATTTTTACATATGCGATTATCAAGTACGTGATAACTGATGATATCTGAATTATCTCTTTTTATCATTTCTATTTCGGGATAAGATATAATTTTCATTATTTATGTAACTATACTTTTACGTCATAATAATTGTAAATGGCATTTTGTCTAGTCTGTTATTGGAATAAAAAACAATTAATATAATAGAATACATGGCTACATTTTAGTAATTTCCTATTTCGACTTCCTATTATAATCCTTCAATTTACTTGGAAAGTAAAACTCGACATGTTCGTGATCAAAGAGAGCTTCTAACAGTCAATAAAAGTTCTACCGGTTTTCATTTCGCACCGGCGCAATTTTTGTTTGAAGAACAAATAACATGGATCAATGTGGTTCTATAAAAAAAGATTCAACTAAGTAAATCAAAGTTCTCCCTCTTCTAAATGTTAGTCTCACGATTACTGCTTAAAACATATATTTATCTTCTATCGATACGTACAATATGACATGAATAATTATCGAGATTGAGGGTCGAGATTAAAGGATTAATTGTTCATTGAGCGCAATTAACTTATTAATAGGGAGAACAATGAGGAATGGAATTTCGATCATTTGATAATCAAGGCGATTAATTGTTTGACGACAAAATGCTTAATTAATCGCGACGGGGTAAGGGAATATCGCGCGGCGTTCCGTCGCACCCGACGCGTTTAAACATCCCATATCCTGCGCCATTAATATTTATAACGGCGTTATCATCAAACTTCATCATCGTCTGCCCATCGAGGGTCTAAAATGCGTGGCCGTCGCAAAGAGAAATCCTAAAACAGCGTCCCTATCCACCCCGTAGTTCGCGTCGCCGCCACCACTGGCCGGCACAAGCAAAGCATAGGCAAGCAGACAGGCCAGGGGTGCAGGAACGAGCGGGGTCGACCCTGCGCGCAGCCTCCCCAGTCCACCCCGAAGATTCAGTCGTCGTGCGGCAGAGGAGGGCCGAGGAGCGCCCGGTCGAAGCGCCGAGGTCCTCTCTCCACTCTCTTCGTCTCCTATATCTCTACACACACGCGTATCTCTTTTTATCCGCCTCCCGTTCTCTCCTCTCTCCGTCTGGACCAGACTGAAAACGATCGGCTCCCTCTATCACCCGCGCGCACACTTTCCCTCTCTTTCTCTCTCTCACTCTCTCTCTCCCTTTCTCTCTTTATCCGCCACCGCGAGAGTCGCGAGTGAAAACGAGCCGGGCAGCGCCGACCTTCACCATTTTGGTACACGCAGAGCACGCGACGTACGGCCGTAAAGCCGTGTACGTCCTCGTCGATCCTCAGCCGACGGAGAGAACTCTCGCCGCGAGAGGAACTCGCCGAATTTTCGGTCGGAATGCGCGCGAGAGTACGGCCGGTGACGAAACGACGGCGACGCCGGTCTGGGGGTTGCTAGCCTCCCTCAACTCCGCCTCTCATTCCTGTCACTCCATTCGTTTTCTCGCTCGCTCACACTCCCTCTCTCTACTACGAAGGGTGGGTGGTGGTGATACGCCGCGCCGGTGGCAGTGGCGGCAGTAGTGTGGATGCTTATGCCGGTGGGTGCACTCTCCTAGTGTGGTAGTAGTGGTTCCTGATGTCGGTGATGGTGGTGGTGTGCTGGTGGTGGTGGTGGTAGTTTAAATTTCAGCCGCGTGCACGGGTTCACCTACGTGAGCCATTACACGGGTCCTCGGCTTTCTCGCCAACTGGGAGGCTATACGAGCGGTCACGGTCCACGGACGCAAATTCTGGCCACCTTCGCGTCCACGTCCTCCTTTTCTCTCGTCGTCCTCTCGTCTTCTCTCGGGTATACCCAGGGTGCTGACGCTCCAAGTGCTCGCTTCTACGCCGAGGCTTTGTCCACTCTCATCTTGACCGAAATTCGCGGTGCGTTCGATCCCTACTTGTCGCCTTGACAGCCGACCGTTGTTGTATGTGTGTTATGCGCGTGCTTTATTAAAAGAATGCATCGTATCGTCGCTGCGCCGCCTTCGTCCTTTCGTACAGATTGCTAAGGTAACGCGGCAGTCGGAGAGACGCGATAAAAATATTATCCGCTTCGCAGCTATACGAAATGCGAAAAGATGTCAGGATGTATCGTGCCATTCGTCTCGCAAATACGATGAAAATCCCGCCGTTCTCGGTGAGATCGAAGCGGGATAACCGTGGGAGAGGGATGCGCTAGTCGAGATAAAACGTTATTTTTCAGAATTATCAAACCATTTAAAAAAATACGACACGGTACGTATATCGACGATAAACGTACAGTATCCCTATTTCAAGCTTGTATCATTCTTTTCAGAAATTTAGAAATGATGTTCTTCTTAAATTCATCTCAGATTTCAATTGTCGAAATATGTTTGTTTTCGTGTCAAAGCCACGACAAACAAAATCACAAGGAATCTAACTTGATCTAACTTGACCTAATTTGAAGAGATCTAATCGCAAAGCATTATTAATTTCAATCTTTAGCAAAAGCTCTTCTTTTCTATTATTCTCCTATCCATCCGCATACGGATGCCACGATTTTCTTTTGGAACTCCGCGCGTGCATGTGCGAGTGGAGCGGTCACATATATGCTCCAAAAACGCGTTAAGTACGCACGTGTACGCGGGTGTACGTGACCACGCGTGTATGTATGTTTCTATTGAACGAGAGTATCGTATCATTGCGACAGGTCTCTCTCGACCAGTCGTCGTCGTGACCCTCTTCAACGCCGCGTAAAAACAGGAAGTATGGTAAAAACATCATCCGTTCTACCGTGATAGCCCGAAGCCCGTTTAATCGCACGCCGAAGCGGAGAGTAGGAGTACTGGAAATTACCGAGATGTACCTCACTCTCCTCGATTATTTCATGTGAATCTGCCGCGAGATTAAGCGGCTTTCTACAAGCCCGATATATGTCCGCGTGCGCATATATCCTGTGTACAGGTATACATACAATATGTATGTATGTATGTACGCTCGCCTCGCATCGCGCGAACGGTGGCACCATTTCCGTGAATTTCGCCCAACGCCCCTTCTTCACAGCGACAATTAGACGCGGTAAAACCGTTGCCGATTCCACGCGCGGTCAAGTCTGTAGGGGAAACAAACGGGAGATGAGAAAAAGAGGAGCGATATCGCATAGATATATGGAAAGCCAGATTCGACAAAACGACGGATCATTCGTGTATCCTTCGAACAAAAGCGTGCAGTTTGCTACTTCGACGCGTTTCGCAAGAACGAGTTACACGGGTTGCGTTATGGATGAGCGTTCGAAGTCTCGTTCCAGCGTGACGGCTGGAAATAGGGGTTGCAGTCGGGGGTGGTTTGTTTTGCCCTCGTCCGTTGTATAGGAACAATCGGCTACGGTGTGCGCTTTTTCCCGCGATGTAGGGGTGTTGTGTCGAGACGATCGACGGTGTAGAGGACGAGTGTGCACACGGGAGAAAGAGGAGGATGGGGAAGAGGAGGAGAAGGAGGAGGAGGCAGCGAGAGGACGAAAAATATGGCCCGTGTGCATGTCGAGCGTGTCGGTTGCCTTTTTGCTCGTCTTGTGCTTCTGCCTTTTCTTCTTTTTTCTGTCTCTATTTCGTCGTCATCCGCTACTCGAGGATCGTTGACCGTGTCGAATGTCGGTCACTGTAAATGAGATTCGCAGAGGCTGAGACGCTAGAGAAGTCCTCTCGAAGCTGTCTCTCTCTCTCTCTCTCGTTTCCTATCTTTTTCTTTTTCTCTTTCTTTTCCTCTTCTCTCTCTCTCTCTCTCTCTCTCTCTCTCTCTTTCTCTTTATCTCTCTCTATTTCTCATGAGAAACTCCCGAAGTAAACCAATGGCAGGGCGAGAGGAAGGAGAGTGCCAAGTTGCGGGCTGGCACAGGGTCGTTTAAATGTTTAGATTCGCAGTGTGAAAGTCTCTCTTTTACCCTAACGCAGAAAACTTCTTATCGCGCGGAAGCTAGCGTTCGCACATTTGGAATGCAAGGGGGCTTTCGCGCACCGCGGAAAAATACCGCCTTCCGGGCCGTACCGCTTTCTCACGGACGCGTACGAACGTGGGGTTTCAAGTGGTTTTAATTTCAACCACGGTAATTTTCGTGGTTGCGGGAACGAGTGGCGACGCCTCTCTCTCTCTCGCCTCCGACGGGGAATAATTATTTTAGATGACAACCGACGTATGCGAAATTCGTTCTTGTATAATTTGCGCACATACGCGATTGACTGAAATGGAGCTTCTCTCGTTGATTATATCGATTGGATTATCAAGAATACGTTTACTCCGAATTTCGCTCTGCCTGCTTTATTATGAATATTCCCGAAACAGCTGCGGTATCCCAATCACACTGTAGCGAGATTTATTTATCACGTGTATTGTCGAGAATAAGTTTTGTAAATTGTTCGAGACGTATCTTCGAGCGGCTATTTTATCGATATTTCCGCAGATATTTTTAAAAGTCATTTGCGAGTGTATTAATTCTGGTGTTATAACGGGCTCGCAAATATCTTGGTCGAAAAATATTAGCTTTACGTTTATTGCTTTTTGCACCAGGGCTCACTGAGATTATGATGCTTTCAAACAATAGCGTCACGCGGCACGTTGCTGCTTTTTCATCCTGAAAATAATTCTTTGGAAAAAATCTTTGGCAAGAACTCTCATAACCGTCTACATATTTACATCGCTAAAACAAATATAAAACAAAATAATCGCTCACTGCCATAACCGAGAGAAAATTTTGAGGAGCCTTTTGTATCCAATTTTCTTAGCATATCCTACACTGAAAAGATTTTACAAAGCAGAAGTTTCGAAGGATTAATGTATACAAAACAAATTTTCATAAAGTTCTGAAACTTGCTCGTATTAATAATCGTCACGAAAGTTTTTAATATCAATCAATTTTTTTTAAGAATTTAATAAAGCTTATTTAGTTCACTTTATTTGCTTTAAATATAAGAAAGGTAACAAATGTATCACTAATACCAGTTTGAAATAATGCTTTATAGACCACGGATTAATTGTACTAAACTATTCTATCGCGTTTTTGTTATTACAACGTTGCTTTTAATAAAACATTTTTCTCTTTGCTTGGAAACTCCCGGAGGTGTAACACACCTGCTTCACGGTGTTCAATGCTTTGACTCGAGTTTTCGCGAGTGCGAGTTTTCTGCAACAAGCGCGTGTACGTGCCCGTAAACTCAAAGCGCGGCGTTGGCGCGGTACGGTGCACCATTTCACCGAGAAATCCGTACGTAGCGCGGATCGTTTTGCAGCTGTGCGCCGCTGTTCTTTCAGATTCGAGCGAATCGGCGGCGGCGGCGGTGCGGCGGCAGACCGGGAGACCGGGAGACCGAAGGGAATACGTTCAACGAGATGCCAGCTCTCGCGCCGTTCGCGCCGCATCCTGAGAGATACGTCAGCCCGCGAGAACGACGACCACGTACGTGGGAGCACTCGGCGGTTTTACACTTTTCCACTAAATCAGCCGTTAACGTCCCTACGGATGCGCCGCGCGCCCCGATCTACGATCGATAAAGCGTCCGCGAGAAGCGTCTCAATTCGAGACCGTCGTCGTGATTCTTTCGTTGACGTCGAACGCGTTCCCGCGGCGGAGCAAGAAAGGGAAGGATTCCGCGATGCGCGTGACGGGGAAGACATACGAGCAAGAAATGGATGGGAAAAGTACGTTCGAATCTTAGCCCGCTCTGCCCCGTAAATAGCGTTTTGTAACCCCCGTCACGTGAAATCGATATCCCTTAAGAGCCGGTCCGTGAGGTCGTTCGTCAGAGACCGGTGCCGGTGCCGGTGCCGGTGCCTGCCTGTTTCACCCCCGTGGAAGTGGTAGAGAGAGTGCGCGCTGGTCTGCGGGGAGTCTGCGGGAGGTGGTGGACAGGAAAGAAGATGCACAGGAAAAGGCCAGCGTTCCTCACCGACATGGGACTGCTAATGTTCTTAGCGGTAACAGCCTCTCTGTTGGGTTACTGCCAAACGGACGAAAAAGGTAAGCCAAAGCGTCGCGACTCGCGACCTCCCTTTGCTTACCGTAGCCCCGCCCCTCTTTCCCTTCGTCCTTATCCTCTCGCTTACGCGCCCGCCGCTATAGTCTCGCTATCTATCTACCCCCCCCCCCCGGCCGCCGCGGAGGCCGGTAGCGTCGAAAGAAATACGGATTTCGCTTTCCGCATCGTCCAACGTCGGACGAAGGGCGAAGGGACGCGAGAATAGCGCCGAGCGCGAGAAAGAGCGGCGAAGATTAACTTTTATGGCCGCCGGCATGAGTAGTTCCCGCGAATTTACTTATAGCGGGAGCGGTTTAATGGTCGCCGCGCACATATACATACAGAGCTGGGCGCTTTTAATAGTGCGCGAGACTATAGCGCGTTGCACCCGGCGTGGCGTCCCTTCGTAAACACCCCCGCGCGAACGATTATATCGGGAGCACCGCGCGCAAGTCTCTTAACCCTTAATCCGCGAATAGTCGGCGAATATAGTCGAAAGTCTTCGACCGCTCTTCGACAACTGCAATAATACAAATTTATAGAATAATTAAAAAGCTCTTCAATATACAATAGTATAAGAAAAGAGCTGGGAATTAAAATTATAAATATTTGGTAGTAATTACACGTCTAAAATTGGAAGGTATAAAGAACACTTAATTGACTTACTTCGAACCAATATTCTTAACGGCTTTAAATAATTCAAAAGCCATTCCTTTTATTCCCTTTAATTAAAATTTCAAAATTAAAATTTTAAACCTTAAATTTCATTAATTTTTTAAATCGTCGCGAAAGGGACCTTTAACAGTTTTAGATTTTCTTATAATTCTACCATTAATACAAACAATTACATGTTTACTATTGGCTCTTTAGCCTTTCTCTTATTAAGAAGAAATTTAATTCGATATTTAATGTTTTTTATAGAAACATATTATGACATACTATCAAATTCAACATTTTTGATGTTTTATAATAACTTTAAGATTGACTCGAATATGCTATTTCTATGCGCTTCCTCTCTTTATTATCCCAAAGTTTCGCGCATACTATTAAATATTTGCATTATGCCCTTCGTTATACCGAGGCGTGAGACATTTTGTGGGAGGAATAGTCGGTTATACGCGATTATATTCCGGAGGTAAGGAAATATTATTTTGTAATTTTGCGAAATAAATTATTTAAATTTCTTCGAGATTATCTATGCATATTGCACATAACTTAATACAAATAGACTGTATCTTTGAAAGAGAGACGTAAAAAGAGTTAACTCTCTTGAGTTAATAACGTAAAACACAATGTAGCATAATGCGTTTTATCGGTTGTAACATTAAAAATAGAATTATAAGGTCAAAATTGAAAATACATTTTTTAATACTTTGCAATACAGTACACGTTCCACGGGAAAATCGGGCAAACGGGAAGAATGGGAAGTGAACGGTTTTCAGATTTGCTAATTAAATTTGCCCAATTTGCAATAATCGAACGCGGAAATCACGTTGAAGTAATAACTTGCTACTAAATCATACGCCGTTACATTACATATATATATCGAAGTGCACTCGTGTACATATTACCGGTGTGTCCGTTATCGTTGCGCAATGCTCGATGTACATGGGCTTAATGCTTCGTCCGAATAAACCGGATAATCGAAATGTGTAATCCATGCACCATTAGTTTTTACGGAACCGTCCTTTCCGGTGCCTTAGCAGATCGATCTGAATTTAACAAGCGGTCAGGATCGCGATACTCATGCGTACGGTGCAAGTTCAAACAGAAAATTGTTCATACTCCCATCAAACTCTAAAAAAAAAAAAAAAAATCCTTTTGCCGGCTTGTAACAATCAATACATCGTGTCGCATATTTCCGTACCAATAAAACCTGTATATACTCGACACATCCACTCGTTGTGTTAATTCGTGTTGCAAACTGTAGAATTGTTGTCAGTTGTCCTTATAATTATACATATGTACATACAGCTTCGAAACGATTGAACGAGTGTTTCGTGGTTTGTCTGTATGTAATTAGACGTAAAACTCTCGGGCAAAACAATTTTCACGAAACGTAACGGTAAATAACACGTGCCGTAAATAGCTGAGGAACACAATCGGCGGCATGTACAACATTATGCGTTATTCACGGTTGATCCAACACACGGAATTATATTTTTCGCGGAATATATGCCCCGAAACAAAATGAGTTCGTGATACCTACTGCTCGCTAATCAGTTTTCCGTTTGTCGGATTAATCTGTGTGGCGCGTGCGAGACATCATATCGCGGTGCGTCGCGCATGGCATATCGCGGCATATCGCGCATTTGTTTTTACATGTTCCGGCGGTTCCGACTGGATACATATTTTCACGAAAAACATGCGCATTCAGAAAGAGAGAGAGAGAGAGAAAGAGAGAGAGAGAGAGAGAGAGAGAGAGAGAGAGAGAGAGAGAGAGAGAGAGAGAGAGAGAGAGAGAGAGAGAGAGATTCTTCGTACTTAATGGCCCGTGCAGTTATTCCACGTACTTGAACGCGTTTTTAGATCATTTGCCGGGGGGGAGGGGTGGGAACCCTTGGCAACTTCGTTCATTCCTTTATATGTGTCTATATAGACGACGCGCCGCGCGAGATACGGGATTTTCTCTATTGCTCGTTTGAAGCGGTTGAAGCCGGGTCATTCATCGGCTCAATCGAAGCATCGATGCGCTTCTTTTACGCTTGCGCTCGCGCTCAGAAACGTGCCCTCGCTAATCGAGAATATTTTACGACCGTAATAGCCTGAGTGCCCCTGCTGGGAGATCAACGAGAACTTTGCGGACCCAACCACGGATTCCTCTATTTATCACTTTTTATTCGGTCCGCAGAAGCGATATTTGTACCGCTGTAAAACGATGTCTAAGTCCGCAGAAACACCCGGGAGACTCCGGGGGAACTTTGACGATCCATTCATCAACCTGCCGCCAGGTCCACTTCTGCCGCTTTTGTTAATGAAGTAGCTCGAGCGACTCTACTCGCTATAACAGACTTCAAAAACTTAGAATCCGGAGATAAATTTCGAAGTATTGCGATTAATAATCGCGTCGGGTGCACCTCTATAATCTCTCTTTCTTTCTCTCTCTGCGCTTTTAGATCGTCGGAACCATCCATTTTCATTCGCTATCCGGTTACTAAACATGTCAATCTAAAGTGACATTTTTCATCTCTGCCCCGCGGTTTAAACATACCAATAAATAAAAAAAAAGCTTTGAACTATCCAAGAGCGCGTTTATTTGGAAATATCGTTCTTTTGTTTCGACACGATGACTATTTTGACATATGTGAACGACAGTTGATGTGAATGCAGGAAAACGATTTCACGCGGAAATAAAACTTTTATTACGTCTATTAATGTCGTGGAAAAAAATTTACCGTCGTGCAGAATAATATATTACACTTATGTTGCGAATGATAATGCATTACGTGAATTTATGCGGAAATAAAATAATTTTTCAAGTGATGCAGATATAATATATTTCCAAGTTGTGGAAATCGTGTAGGTCAGTTAGAAGTTAAGTCCATTTTGTGAATTTTTACTTTTTATCTTGGTGATATAACTTAAAATTACTATAAATTATCATTTAAAAACATACTTAGACTCTAATTAATCCTTCTCTTATTATGTCACGGAAATTCGATATAGTTGAAAAACTAATATTTGTCTTTAGGAATAAATAAATGGAGTTTAGAAGACTGTCGCGAACCTTATAAGATTTGCAAAATCGTACCAGTTTGTTGTTTATCTTCGTAGTCGTCGCAGCTTATTTACTTATTTACCGCTGCTTACGGGGCGCGGTACGATAAATATATGAAATTTCCTGAAGAAAGCCACTTCAGCGCGCAATTCAAAAGTTATCGAAGAAACAGATGAACGAAATAAAACTTCCCCGAGTGACACTTAATTTCTCTTCCTCGGCACCGAAGAAAAATGAGGTCCTGCGCGCCGACTGCAATAACGTATTCACCTCGGCTCCTTGTTTCACGTAAAAATGGAACCGTTCGCGATGTTCGACGGTTATATTTTTTTCGTAAATTCATATTTTAATTATTACTACATTAGTCAGTGAAATGCAAAATGCAAATCAACCGACACTACCTACGTCGCTTATGAGAAAACTGTATAATTTCCAGGACCGGGCTGGGATCGTCGAGAAAGAGAACAAGAGAGAGAGAGAGAGAGAGAGAGAACACATTTACGTTACGTAAATTAAAATGAAGAATTTCGCAACGTTAATAGCGCATTTTCCTATCCCTCTTTTTCCGCCTCTCTTTCCTGCGTTCACCAGGACAAAACTGTCCGCTGTATAATAACGCGTATCATCGGTCTTCCACTTTGTACCTAAACGCATTAAATTTGTTAAACTTGCAGTGTCGTTTTACGGGGCGAGCTACATCCATCTTCCGGTTCAAGAGGCCAAGGGTGCTACTGACATCAGTTTCCGGTTCCGAACTCATCTCGCCGATGCTATGCTGCTATTGGCTGCTGGCAAGACGGATTACTGCCTGATCAAACTTGAAGCCGGCAGATTGAAGGTTCGTTTGCCCCTGGCGCTTTACTTCTATTAATAGGCTTTCTGTTTGGTGCCGGTCGCCTCGTCGTCGTCGTTAACGGGCCGCACGTGCTACGAGTCAGACTTCCCTCTTCTCTGCCGTCCTTGCGGAGAAATTAGACGCGCCGTGACACGTTGAGAAAAAAGTCGAGTCTCGCGTATATAAGTACGCTAAAATATATTCCCGCGCGAGGCATTAAGAAAAGAGGAGGATTCACCGCGCGCAGATGTAACATTTGCGCGCGTGTCCGCGAACTCTTATTACTTCAGGATCTTTCTTATTTCTTGGCGAGAAAGATGGCACGACTCCAATGACATGGCGAAAGATATTGCATCCAAGAAAAGATTCTAATCATCACGACGTGGCGAATTTTGCGGTCAACGCACGTGATACCGCGTAAATAGAAATCTCAATTCTTAATCCGTGATATTGAGTATTATTTCTGAGCATTTATCTATATTTAATCTTAATTAAGTTTTAATATATTATCTTTCATTTAATATTGCGAACATTCGCACACACATTTGCAAAGAATATCCTTTACAGAAATTTAATATTGTAAGTGCATTAAAAAGAGTGCTTTTAATACTCAAAATAAGTAATTAATTACTAGCCAAATAATCACTTACAGTATTAAATTTCTGTAAAGGATAAATTAACATTTAGTCGAGAGGATAAATTAACATATATGCCTTTATTTTTTTCTTTAACATTTAACTGATACCGCGATCTCTCAGATCGTCGTAGTTACTTGCAAGATAGAAATATTAAGAAAAAAAAAACGTTTACATTAAGAGGAAGTGAGAATGAAGGTAAAAGAACAGGTTCTAGGCTAAAGGGCAAGGAAAATGAAGGGATAGAACAAGGGTGGTGATCTGTGAGATCGCCACATATCAGTTAAGGTTTAATAAAAGAAGGCAGCGACGACGTTAAGCGCGGTTAAGGGTGAGATAAGAGTTAAGAATAGGATAATATATATTTTTATAGCATCGAAATCAATAACGTCACAAAGCAACATTTCTTCGTCCAAAATTACAACCTTATAAAACTGTCTTATAAAACTGTTTCTATATTATTTAAAAATATATACAAAGAAAAAATTTTTTATTTTATACTTTTTTAGTGTTTTATTAAATTAATATGAATAATTATTATCGCATATTTTCTTACTGCTCCGTACCCTGATATTCTAGCGCGATATTTTATGTACTAAAACCTTCGTAGAGGATTGCTCTATAGGACAGTGAAAACCGCATTTAAATCCGTCCACAGTATATAATTTTAGAGAAAATCGTGGACATACATACATACACGCCGAATACAGAACCTCCTTTTTTTGAAGTCGGTTAAAAAAAGTTTTCCATTGAAAATGCTAATTATAAAACTGATAATAATATCGATGTATAAGATAGGATGTGCAAACAACGCTTCTTGTTTTTCTCATGCTGGTGTCGAACCCGAGTCTCACAATATCTCACTCCGATATAAATATCTTGCACGCGCGTATATGGGTAGAAACCTTACGTATAAAGGACCAGGACGTATGTAGGCAGAGAAAGAATCCAATAAATTGATTCGCCACGAGCGAAATACAAGAAAACCAGCCGCCAAATTCAATCGCATGTAGATTTCAATATCGCGGAGTATCGCATTTTGACCGGTGACAATTGCGCCTCGATCGCGTCGAGTTAACTCGCTGCCACTACCGTGTCTAACTAGCCGACAAGTTGACGACCGCGGAGGAATGTTTCACGATAAATTCATATTGCGTTTTTACCTCCGCGTTGTCACAAAAGATTTTACAGTTTTTGACAAGCGGTTCAACGGAACGCCCTTGTTATTTCGTTAAAGAAAATCGACTATACCTTCCTTTTAATGGCTTGATGACATAGCGCGCGTCAACATCGACGGCGCGCGGTCGCTCGGCAAACACGTTCGATAACAACAAGAGCAAAACCGCATAATGTCTTTTCCATCGATGTTTCGCGAAATGAAATTGCGGTGATACCGCGCGAAGGCGGGGTCGCGGTCGGTTCTTTTTTTTTTACGTCCGATTTTATTTGCGCGTCGATACGACGCGGCGCGACGATATTTCGGCTCTCGAGGCTGGAACGTTGCCCGCGTCGCTCTCGTTTTTTGCGACATCGGTCAAAATTTCACGCGATCGGTCAGAAATGTCCACCGCGAGACGAAGTCATCCGGTCGGATTTTACGCAATGATGAACCTCTCGCGGTCCACATGATAGAGCGAATCTTTTTTTCGTTCCGGCAAAAAAAAGACGCGCGGAGCAGCACGCAAGAGTTACGCGCAAACGCAGCAACGGTAGTACTCGCTCTCGTTTCCCCGGAGACGAATAGCTCTCGCATTAAAAATTACTCTTGAAGAAATAATTCACTCGTTGAAGGCGAGTCTCGCGCTGATTTCGCGCGCAATAATTAAACGCACGGTCTACGCAATGCATATGAAATAAACGGAAAAAAATCATTGTCGCGTTCGGGGTAATCAGAAAAGTCATCCGCGACGTTGCGAAGTAAAATGGAAAATGGAAAGAAATCTATTATCCCTTCGACGTGATCCTTCGAGGACGCATCTATACATTTCCGCGTTGCCGGATTATGGCGTGAAAATACGAGTATGTATCGCATTATGACAAAAATTTCAATTTTATATCTCGTTTGTTAGTGTCAGAAATTGAAATTCCGATTAAATATATACGCGGAACACGAGAATTTTCGAGATCGATATCTACGTTATTGCGATGAGCGTCAAGATTGCTAGTGCGGTGGAGATGAACATTGCTGGCCCGTATATGAAACACGTATACGTAATAGAGTGGTACAACGGCGCGCCTATAAACAAGTTTCACGGGCCATAATGAGAAGAAGGCTGACAGCAATAGAGCTCGCAGCAGTAGCCATCCTGTCTCTTGATAATAACCGCTGATGAGAGCCCGCGCTGCTTCTAATTATGTACAAAGAACGTTGCGCTGGAACGAAGTTACAACTTCGCCGCAGATTATTAATTTTCCAACGATTAATATTCTCGTGCGTACTCTCATATTTTACATGACTCATTATCGCCCTCTTCCCCGCCCCCTCGAATGAAACGTGCTTGGCACCCTAACTCTCGCAAGCTGGCAATTGTTAGAAGTACAAGCGCGCGCGCGATACTGAATATTATTTTGCTGACGAGAGCAATTAGAATAATCGGTTTCCGCTACGGCCGCATATAACGATTATCCTAAAATGTTCGATACACGGTCTTTCGCATTTCAATCACGAGTATCAATCTCGAGCCCATACGTTAGCTACTTAATTTTATAACTTTCTCTTCGTTAAGATTTCTTAATTTTGAGGTAGGAGCGTATGGTACCTCTCTTCCAATGTATAGTATTAAAATACTCTCTTTGAGTGTATTAGCTGTGTGGTGTGGAGGTGGCGGTATCCCGATTGCGCGCATGAATCCCGGCATGAAAACCGCGCGCGAATCTAATTTCGCGAAGGGTTAAGTCCGTGCAGCGTAAAGAAGCTGCTCGCCGTCGAGGCTTAATTAAATTTGTTAAGAAGATCGTTAAGAAGGATGAAGACAGGATAAACGGCTGAGGGCAAAAAGTGCAACGGCAGTTCTGGGGTCTCGTGTGCCTCCTCGACGGAGAAGTCTCGATCGACGCCTCCGGAGAGGCTTAAAAGCCCCTCTATCCGAGGCGATAATCCGATGATTCAGAACTTAATTGCGGCGATATATCGCTACGCGGTATCGCTTGCTTTCTGGCTGGTGACGTAGTCGAGTCTCCATTCTCGTGCAATATTCAGAATTTAAAAAGCCTTTATTATTTTATTAACTACATATATTTCACATACTTGTAATTAATTATCCTTGCTTTAGTTCATTTATGCGGCAGCTTTTGATCTTCTCTCTTTACGATTATATTGCGTATAAACTCTAAAAATTCCAATTACGAATACAAAAGTTGGGGAATTCTCGTTAAAATAAAATATATTTAATAAGCTGAAAGCGCCGAAAGCGCCGTAATGAGTCTGAGACGTTAAGAATTTGATAGTAGCAAGTTAATATAATGGGTCCGTAATGCCTCGTAATTAGAGAAAGAGTCGTATTGTGTCTTTCCTCTTCGTTAAGAGAACCGTAATCCTAGTAATTATGAAACATCGTTACTAACAATGCGCAACATTTTTCCTGACCCAAATAAGTGTTTCCCTCGATGTTATATATTTGCAGTTAAAAAGCAGCGTGGAAACACGCCTATTCTATCTAACTAAACGGAAAGCAAGCATTTTATTTTATCGAGTGCATCTCGAGCGTGAAATGGTCGTTAATCCTGAATCTCTCGGTAATCCGGTGAATCAAATTTTAATTACTCTGATGTGTCGCGATATTTACTTTTCGACGTATTGCGACGTTTATCGGTAACTAACGCGAAAGAAAAATTTTCTGTGACACATCCCGACGGTAGACGAACCACTAATTGCACGGTCTTGTCCTCCCGGGGTACATTCTTCCACTATTACTTTGCACCATCGCAATCTATAATGTTCGCGGTGAACTCAGATACCAGTGTATCACAATGGTTCGGCCGCAACCGTACTGCCGGATAATCCGACGATTTAACCGCGTCGCGGAATGCATCGGTGGCTTCCGATATTGTTCACTTTCCAATCGTCTATGCATTCATAACGCGACTATCCTGCGAGCTCTTCGACGACGTGTGTGTGTGTGTGTGTGTGTGTGTGTGTGTGTACAAAGGCGCGTTTACATTTTGCAAAGTGTCTCGTCTCACGCGTTTATACATATTAATGAGTCCTGCATAGTCATCCGGCATCGGTGCATCCGACGATGGTAGTCGCAACTCGCGAGAGCCTCGCGCCTCTACTATTACCGGGTCGATCATGAAACGGTGTACGCCGCTGTGCCAGCTGGAAAGGGTCGCCAGTACGGTGGCTTGAACGCGACGCTGCGCCGCCACTGCGACTTTTTAGTCTCGGACGATCGACTTTTCATTAAGAGAAGAACCTCAGCGGACGTCTCCCTCGGACGATCTCTTACATAGGATCAACGGAGACCGCTCGAAGAATACCGTGGCGACGCTGTACCGGAATGCTATAAGTCTCAGACGTTCGATCCGGGTCACGATTAAAAGCTCTTTATCAGGAGTCTTACTACTTCACCTCTGACTAAGGCGCATCCGTGTACTATTCGGTAACTCGATAATGCATTACATCGCGTTGAAACATATAGAGCGCATTTAAGCGAAACTGTAGAAAGTATTTCGAAAGGCATGGCATTTATCTACAACACAGCCATCCTATATTCTATTTTCTATTCCCAAAAAAAGATTATTTACGCATTAAACATTTTTATATAGCCCTGTATCTTTCTCTCTTAGATATAAATAAAGTGATGTTTAAGTTTTTAATAGAATATTTATATTATAATTAATATTAATAAAATATTAATATAATCACCATAAATTTATAGAAAAATTGAATAAGTTTGTACATACGTAGCTGCATAATTTTTATCAAATAAATATTTGTGCATTTAAGTTTATGTCATTTTTATGCCTTTCCAGAATATCTTGATTCCTGATGTATAAATCAAATCCTATATAAATATCTTAGACAATATTTATCTAGCCATAAGAAAATTTATCATCAAACATGCTACGATCCATAACTATTTGAGCATCTACAATGCCGAGCGACAGTGTAGCAGGCAGCGGTTGATTTAGGTGACTTCCGCGAATCTAAATATGCACGGGGAGTTTGGAATTTATACCCCAGTGGATGTATTGTAAATCCACCACGCGTAACTAGGAATCCTCCGGTGGCGCGATTACAAAGTAGCTGTTGCCGCACGACGCGTTTTAAGGGAATAACGGTACACATCTCTGCCTCGTATGCAGCTCTTACGCGTAAATATGGAATAATTTGACGAAAATGAGACGTATCTTATCGGTGACGTCGCTAAACTGCGATCGTCCCGTTTTTCTCATTATATGGAGACGCCGGGAAAATTGGGGACGCCCGCGCCGGAGCGATCGGAGGGATTCGACATTTATTTTCCGCACGAGACCGAAAGCCGTTTTCACTGTCTGTCTAGCTGTCTGCCTTCTTCATTCTCTCGGTGTGCAAACTCATTGTGCGAGTGCCTCAAGTGCAGACGGAATACACGAAACCTCGAGCTGTCGGATTCCTGTCAGCTCACGCTGTCGGAGAATTTGCGGGGCATGACTGGCGCCAGGAAACCTCGTATGCCGAGAGTTTGGTATACACCTACTTTGGCAATCTAGCCTTTTTTATATATTTATATGTGTCACTCGAAAATACGAAAAATTGAAGTCTTCGAATTTTTTGCAAATTAACGATCTTTGATGAGATAAAAATTAAACGCTCCTGCGCAATCACCTGTTTGCAGTGACAATGCCAATATTAAAAAATATCCGTTTTTATTCCAAAAGCGATTATAGTTTGCATTTAAAAATATTTTTACCGCTTATAGACTTTCATCGAATTTCGACCTATTTTTTTCCGCTCTCGTGCAGCTGCAATATAATTATTTTACAGCGAGTGCGAAACTTTTTGATCACGCTGCGAGACCGCAAAGAAGCCGAGCTACCTTACAGCATTATGACGGAGGACGCTTCTAGCGGCTTTTCCGCGCAGCCGTCGTTTACTTTGTTCATTAAATCTCCTAAACACGCATCTCTCCTTCTCTCTCTCGCTATTCACCGGTGAAAACTCTTTACGCGTTTCCATAATATTCTTTTTTACGCGCTACACGACGCTAGCTTGCTGACGCGGAAGGGCATAAAGCGCACCGGGTCTACGGCCGGAAACCGAAGCTCTATTCCGAGGAGGAACAACCGGCCTCAAAAAAAAAGACCGAGAAAAAACAAAAAACAAGAATGCACTTGTACCGTCGCGTACGTATAAAACCCATTTGCGGTAGCGGCGCGTTCGCACAATAACTCCGGTAAAAATGAGACTGACTTTTACGAGCGCCCGCTCCTACTGTTTTTTGTCGCAGGTTCACATTAATCTGGGCGCGGGTGAGAACGAGATGGCGAGCGCCCGCGGGTTGACGCTGAACGACCTCAGTTGGCACGAGGTCAATTTGACAAGACGCGAGGCCAACATCAGCTTGCAGATCGACGTGATACACACGACGAGATCCCAACTACCGGGTCGCTTTTTCGAGCTCAACATACACTACGGCGTTTTCATCGGCGGACAGGGCGACTTCAACGAGCTATTTCTAGGTAAGACGAGCAAGGCGAGCAAGGAAAAGGCAGGCTACAGGCAGACAAGCCTTGGTTCATCCGGATAAATTGTCTCGCCACGTGACTGAACTAGATTCGATACACGCCACGCCACGCCGGCAAACACTATATTCGTCGACGTTGCACTCGCGCCACGGTCACGACTATTTTCTCTTTTCTTTCGCTTCGTTTCGTTAAAAGGTCGGCAACCCAACTGCAACTGAGACGATGGAGAGATTAGGTAATCAAGCCTAACAGCCTCGCTTAATAAATAATTAGCATTGCGTTCGCGCACGTTTGTGTATGTCGTTTTTCGTGATTGTCGTTATAGAGATTTTGATGGCAAACTATTTTCAGCAAGTTGCTTCATATCAATATCCACGAAATATTGATAAAATAAAAACATACAAGTATAAATAAATGTTCAGTGAACGATGAAAATATATATAAAATTTTTCTGAATGTTTTTTTTAAACTATTGTATGTAAATAAAATTGAGATGAGACGATATACAACGGAAAAGCACGATCACTGCACGCAATTTTTTAGTTTTATCTTTCGTTTATTGAATTAGTTTTTTTTAAATTAAATAAAAATTAAACAGAGTTTTCTTTTATCACATATCAGACAATAAATTCAACAATTAATAAATTGCGATAGTGGCGATTCGAATTACAGTAAAAGTTTAATTTTGCAAACGGGTGCACATGAGAGAATATAAAATTAATATGACAATAATTGTTTTTGTTTGTTTGGCTAAATTAATCTGCTATGTGTGTAAATTAAATTTTATAAAAACGGGGTTAGTATCAAAAACATTAATAATTAGGATATAATAACATATTCTTTTATTTGATGAAATGAGAATTAACCGAGTTGCTATAAGAATAATAAAATTAATAAAATCAAGAAGTTTTCAAAGAGTGAACGTCAATTAAGTCAAATAAAACTCTTATACAGATAGATTTTCACTCCAATATCTCAAAACAACATTAATCAAATATTAAATATTTTAAACAGAGTGTAAATAATCATTAATATGTAATATTTCAATAACGTATCTGGGGATTAATTAGAATCGATAATTTCAATATGAAAATATCAAAATTATAATATTTTTCGAATTATAAGCGATCAAAATTGGTAATATGAAGTTTACACATGCTTAGGCCTTATTACGTATACCCCGATCTCTTTTCTATTATTAATTTTTACATATCGAATGATATCGATTTCGTATTACTGATTTTATCTTTTGATTTCTTATGCACATATATATTTCACTTTATTTTAAGAAATATAAAGTCTATCAAATATCAAAACTTCAATAAATATATATAGATGGATAATAAATAGGGGAAACCGGGGCTATCTGTCTACGGGGGCTATGTGTCCACTGCTATCTCAAGTTTTAAGAGACATATGTCTCTACCATTGTAACAAGTATTTGAAAAATGCCCTACGTAAGAGATTTAAATGTTGTTTGTTTTTTTGCGATGCTTCTCGCAGACGCTATATACGTTAAAAGAAAAGCGAAAACAATTATTCACAGTTTTCGACGGTCGAAAAATTTGCTGTGCGACAGTAATTTAACTCAAATTAAAGTAAGCAATTCATAATATTATCAATTAATATATAGTTATCAAGTGTGAGAAGCGTCAAATCTTAATTTCGCATAATCTAAAATTGGCAACATGTTAAAGGCTGAAAAACGTGGTCGGGGCTATTTGTCCTATTTTTGATGGGGCAATGTGTCCACATTTTAATGACGGATTGTTCTTTTATTAATAGATAATGCTGCGTAACTACAAAAGAAAGACTTTCCTTAAGACAGATAAGGTAGACATATCTAATAAAATTATACTTAGAGCGATTAAAAGAATAAAAATCGATCGAGAATCTTTTCGTAAAAACAGCGTTAGAATTTGGAATAAATGTTCGGGCTCTCACTACTGTAAGTCAAGTTAAATACATGAGTTTGTCTGAAATTATTGAGTATTTTCTATTTCAAACGCTGCCGAAAATAAAGTAAAGGCCCCAAATAAAAAAAAGATTAAAGAATTGAGGGGACAAAAGAAACTCATCACATTGATTTTGCAACGGACTGAAAATCAGTTTGATGCCACCCCTATATAAAGAAAAGTCAGTCCTACGCAGGAAACTTGTCAAAAAATCTATACAAAGTGTAGCCTACTACTTCTCTGACTCCAACGATTAGGCAGTTTTTTCAATATTATATGTATATTAATAATAAATAATATTATAAATAAGTACAAAAATTAATGTAAATAATGTGTTTGTTATTATGAGGATAGATAGCCCCGCATATGGGGCTATCTGTCTACGCTTGACTTGTCCACTTAAAAAATTCGCCTCTTTAAAATGTTAAAAAATTAACAATTTTAATTTTTTTTTTTTTAATAGCAAGGTTGAAGGGTTATACTATTAAAATTTTAGCCAAATATCTTTATTAGTAATTTTAGTAAACTTTTTTATTTTTTTAGTAAACTTGAAAAAAGCGTAAAATGTGGACACATAGCTCCAGTCTTCCCTATAGACTCGCGCCACGGTCACGATAATTTTTTCTTTTCTTTCGCTTCGTTTCGTTAAACGGTCGGCCCCAATTGCAACTGAGACGATGGAGAGATTAGGATAAAATTAGGATAAAAGATTAGGATAAAATTATTAGTAAGTCTTTTTGTTAAACAGATTAGTTAAAACATATCCTGTAATCGTAAAAAAATTAATTTTATTTTTCTTGCATCCATTTGTGCATACTGAAAAAATCTATTGCTTTTTTTCGAACCAGTACATATAATATTTTAATCCCGAAAACAGGTATACAGAGAGACTGAATGCAGAATTCAAATTCTAATAAAAGTATATTTGGGAATGAGAAAGAAAGAAAATAAAATAAAATAACAAGCTAGATGCTAATAATTTTTCCACTTTCTATAAAGACTCTTTTTAGAAGAGGATTAATTTTTATTTTATATAAATACCTATAATATACATACATATTATAAATAACTTGTTGTCTCCGATTTTCATTGTTTATAAACACCATGAAGGAACTTAAATAAACGCTTTATTCTAAAAATGTTTTTAAAATACAACCTTTTATTTGATACAGTTTTACTTCATTGCCTTCTCTTTTTTTATAATTCATTATTTATCTAAGCAACAAATTTCAAAATTTTATAATTATATAATTATAATCTTTATATAATTATAATATAGTTGATGCTTCCTCACGAATAGCATTATTAATGCATAATACTTTCATAATGCTTTTCGTGTTTCCTGAAAATTTTATTTGAAGTAGAGCACTTGGCAAAAAAGCATAATGGATTTATGATTTACTGATTCACCAAGCTTATTCTACTCATAAAATATTTTCTATCATTTTTTGTTTATGCTTGCGAAATTGATTAGATTATATATTTTCAGTAATTGAAGTTATATGTATATTTATTGCAACTAGATTTTTATTACGTAATAAGGTTATAAAATGTCTGAATTAATATAATAAGTTCTACAAGATTTTTTGTATGTTCGAGTACATTTTCATATGCAGAATAAAACGATGGATGATCATTTTTCAGGATTAAATAATTAAGATTAATTTGTCATAGTGCCTATCCATTTTAAGGCAATGGATCTGTGAAATGTTATATTTATCCGTAGCATTTTGTTACAATTTCAATTTTCACAAAACCATTATCTCAAATGAAAATTGAAAAAAATTATTTACTCACCGATACGATGCGGCAGCAGCAGCAGAGTAGGTACACTACGTTGCGAATTATGTTGAACTGTAAAATACAAACAATATACTTCAATTATAGCAGTAGCCAAAATAATTAATATTTAAAAAAAACAATTATTGCGCACATAAATAATTATATAAATATAAATAATTAATTTTGCAAATAATGAAATACACGTGTATATTATTACTAGCTTGATACACCCGTATTGTTTATATATATATATATATATATTATATAACGCAGTATGCGAAGGATACTATAATTCATCCCCGAATCTAGATTGGCCCCTTTAACGATTGATTAGGGCGAAATCCTAAATTATGTTTTTAAGCATTTGTGTGGGTAACCTTTGCAAGCAAAAAGTCGATATCTCATCGGGCCTAAAGGGGAGTTTACACACGCAATGATTATAGTGGCGCTAATCGACTAATGCCAGTAAAAATGCATGTATAAACACTTGATATTACAAACTGGCGCTAGTAATGTGGCGTTTACTGGCGGTTATTGGCCAAAGCATATAATCTCAAAATTTGAAGTTATATGCTTGCTATCATTTACTGTGTGTTTAATAAATGTTAAATATTTTCCATATTATACGTCAATCACTGTGTAAATACTTGTGAGTTTGCCAGTCGGTTTCTGGCGCCAATGAATGCCAGTCAGTTGTCGCCACTAATCATTGCGTGTGTAAACTCCCCTTAAGAGATATTGAGAAAAATTCGTGAAAACACATTTTATCCCTTTTCACCCCGTTAGGTCGAATTTCCAAAAATCCCTTCTTAGTGGGTGCGTAATGAAAGAAATATACTCCGCGAATTTCATGTTTCTATAATAGGCTTAGGGGTTTAAGCTGAGCGTTGATGAGTCAATCGGGACATTTGTTCTTATATATATATATGTATAATATATATATATATATATATATATATATATATATATATATATAATGAATTATTATATAAAAATCAATTATTTACCCCATAGTTGCTCCGCCATCACCATCTGCCTTCCAGGCTTTTCCTCCTTCTCCTTTCATATTCTTCCGTTCTTCTTTGTTTTTTTATGGCACGTACTCGGAAAACATAAGTTAAATAGGATCTTGCGCGCACTAATAACGTCTACTTTGGTACTCTGAAGCTTATATGTGTTTCATTTTTGGATCAAAACTATTTTTGATTCCGTTCAAACGCTCATTTTGATGAACTTGAAATCAATTTATTGTTAGATATAGCTGCAGCAATCATAAATACAAGTTATAAAACTCGTGCCTTTCTATAAATATATAAAATAAAATCACAGCGTCAATGACTGCAGTGAGTGTATTAAGAAACGTTTATAATCATAGCTTTTAATTACGTTTGAATATAACTCGGATTTTTTAATCACTGTGATAAATACTTAGATAGCGCAAAATATCTGCTATACGATGAATAGTCGACACACCTCGATATTTTTACAAATCGTTAATTGTAGGTGTTAACCAATCTCTAATAATTTAAATGTTCGTAGGATCGGTAGGATATAATCATGCGAGGGAAAGTAATGCGACAGCACACCAAAGCTGTTCGCATCGTTGCCTGCCGGTTCGACTTTCGTCGCGCGAATGTTAAGCGCGACGACCTCGCGTAAACGAACACTGCACCGTGTCATCGCAAGAAGCGAACAACTGTACCGTTATAAAATATGTTTATTACGTTATGAAATAATTCCTTTTCAAGTTAATTATTATTAAACAGTGTATGTGTACATATCGCGGTTCTTCATTATTCATGTGTCATTCGATTCGGCGTGTCACGTATTATTCTACGGTCGCGATTTGAAAATAGTGAGCTTAAATCAATAAAAGTTGAAAGTAGACGTATTTCTATCATGCCATTTAACCAAATTTAAAGGAATGATCACCATTTGAAAATATCCCAATAACGATCAATTTATAATTCTTCTTTCCTTCATTCTTTCCTATCGCGCTTCAATTTCTTCTTGATACATTAACGAATTCTCTATCGCGGGAGTTAATTCGATAGCCGCTTATTGTGTAAGGAATAATCGCATGCTTTTAAAACTTTTTCGAGACATTATGTGTTGATACACGGAGCGACTTGTCCTGCTCGCTCAAGCATTACCGCGTGAATGATAACGCGGCAACCTTGCGCTAAGTACTCACACACAGCGCGCTGTTTGCAAATACGATGGTTGTGTTAGCCGACTTACCCAACGATAATATTATATAGGGAAGACCGGGGCACCATGAGCTACAAAATATCAAACTCTGAAAAGTACTTTTAAATATAAGATTTTTTGTCTCATTTTTTTTTTAAATTAAAGCACTACGTATATTTTTTAGCGTATTTGACAAATATTGATTAGTTTTTGAGAACAAAATTAAAACAGATTTTTTTTAGAAATACGGGGCATCATGGGTCTGTCACTGGGACACTATGAATCACACACAAAAACTAGGTTTATTTATTCAAGAAATAACGCAAAATTACAAAAGTTGAAACGAAATTTTATTTTATACGTTTTCTTATGACACTGTTCAGGATTGGGCAGGACAAACAAGATAGCAGAACCTACTACTGAAATATCATTTTTTAAGAGAAAAACTAACTTCTGACATGTTTTCTTCAATCAAAAATAATATCTATCATCAACCTTGGTTGCGTGTGTGATCCATGGTACCGCAGCATTGGGCGTCCCATGATGCCCCGAATGCATTTAATATAGAAAATGGTAAAACGTAGTAAAAAAATAAATAATAGGGTAACTCCGGTATTTACGCCGCGCGGGGTTTTACGCCGCAGATGTCAGAAAAAATAGAAGGAATAAAGGTACTTGCTCGCCATTATTCTGTTATGTGCCATATTAGTATTGTGTTGTAATTTCAGTTCTTTACTGTTAATATTAACGAAACTGTCGTGAGCTGAATCGATTTCTCATCGTAATAGTAAGAAGCGCGATTTTGTGTTACGACCTACGTAAAATGATTACTGTAAAGGTTTAATGGTTATTTTATGATACATAAGTGTAGACTGTGTAGAGGGATAGCAAATGATGGAATACAGCAAAATACAAATGCATAGCTCTTGTATTTTTTGTTTAACTTAATATCTTGTATATCCCTCCTGTTTAGGATATACGGCAAGTTAACATGCGGGATATATGCCATAGTACAGACACTTTGTAAAACTCGAAATCTCCTGTGTGTTCTTTTTCCTTCTTCTTTTAGATCGTATAACAATAATCTTTAATGCATCTATCATCTATCGCTCTTCTATATTTTCTTTTTAAAATTTTTCAGTTTTATAATTTGTTTATCATTCTTACATCTTAATAACATCTTAATAACACAAATTCTTATTATACATTTTATAACTTATTATGACATTTTATTGCCTTATTTATAAACATTATTCGTAATTTTTTATAAGGCGTATATTTTACCCATAACCCACCCCTCTGGGATATATGGCAAAAATGCGAGTTTCTAAAAGTTTTTTTATTAAATACGAAGAATGAATATTTTATATTTCTATTTTTTTATAGTAGTAGACAGTATAAAGTTTTTATTGGTATAATTCATTTGCCTTAAACATAGTAAATAGTACTCGATAAATTAAGTTTCCCTTAGCTGCGGCGTATACCGGAGTTACCCTACATGATTATCTGTAATGTAGTAAAATGACAAAAAATGCTAGAAAGTTACACCTAATTTTGATTACGTGTACACAGTAAAAAATAAAACGTAATTTTAACATTTTTTACATGTCCCAGAAAATCCACTCTAAATTTTAAGTTAAAATGACTCATCGTGTGTTACTTGTTGATAAATTAGAAATGTTAATTGACACTATACTTACATTTATATTTGTTCTTTTGACTTTATATTTCAAGTTATATTAACACATGATACTAGTTGAATCAACCTAAACATTCTGGATTACCCTAAATATCTTATTCCTTATATTTCAAGCTATAATTTCGACGATTTATTATTGCGCGTTATCTTCCGCGTAATCTTTTGTGCATTTAAAGAATAAATTTTACCTTTGCTTTAATTGAAAGTATTCGCGTAAGTCACTTTTTCAATTCAAATTTTTACATTTTTCGAGAGAAGTAAAATTGCGTGATTTTAATCATTTAGGAATCATGATTTTAATAAATAAAGAAAATTAAATCGCGGCTCAAACTCACTTTGTTCCTTAATTTATTATTAAAAGTACACAATTTTCTCGTGACAAAAATGTATAGGAAATAATAATAATCAATTAATTTGTCTATATTCCTATCATAAAATAAAAATAAACTTTATCTGTTAAATTTATATTTGTATATAATATTAAATTTAATAATTTGTTTTAGTTGGAGTAATCATAATTATTAAAATTTTCATTAAAAAGCATTAAATAATTATGCAATAATTAAAATTAATAATTAGTAATCAATTTGTGTGTAAGTATCAGCTGATTGCTATATTTATTAATGTACGTAATTTACATTAGAAATTGTATAACAAATCAAAAGATAAAATCATGTAAACAGTAAAAATTAATCTCATCTGCGCTGTAAACATTAATAGGTAGCAAGTAAACATTAATAATAGCAAGAACTTGTAAACTAATATTTTTTTATATCAAAACTTTCTATTATAATTAATTTCTAGAATACATTATTAAAATATTACGCGTTATATAAATATTACATATTTATCTCTTTTTCTTGTTATAGTTCTTGTTATAATTTAATAAACTTAGTAATTTAATAAGCATTGATATAAAAAGAATAAAGAGACAATTATCGATAGTATGCCTTGTATGCATAAAATATACGAAATAAACAACGTTTGCAATTTAATAATTCAGAGCACGAATTCCGTGCATTATTCATATAATATTATTAATTTTCGTTTCATGATTAATTTATTAAATTAACAGAAACGATATGTAATTATTAAAACCTGGGGTATGATATCGTATATTGTGCGAATATTTATGTATATATTGTGTAAAGCAAAATATTTAAAATACACTCATACATAGGTG